TTCCTCTGTAGTGATCCAAGACTGGAGACACTTGAAACTATCGTAATGAACTTGACTTGTATGAACAAAGCTAATTGTACTTTTATGAACTCCTTACACGACTTTATGTTTAACATTATTCTTTGCAAAACAATTAACACTCATATGAACTTTTGTAACTTGTAAACATGAAACTGTTGGAATAGATAATGCAAGATATCCATGCAGTAATATTGAATAATTGAAATGATGATTACATCATCCTTTTAATGTTCTAAAAAATATCATTAGTCAATCAATAAATATCACACAGCTTCCATAATTGTTTTGGTTTTTTCCGGATTTTACTTCATGATTAATATAAATCTATATAAAAAGTATTTGTGTTACTATATTAGAAAAACAAGAATGATTACGTTATCAATATAAAATATTATAAATATTATAAATTTTATTTACGCATATCAATGAAGGGGTATCTATCTCATTTGGACTATTTATTAAGTTCATGTAATATGTGATGTATGTGGCGTTTTACTCCTTCCTATAAGAAACATACCGTATATACAAAAAGCTATTCCACCAAATGCAAAAAGATAATTTCGCGACTTCATTTTGCATGTTATATTATTATCTAGTCATACGATTATTATGTATTTTATTACACGACAATTTATGTACAGTTTAAGCTTCTTTCTCATATTCAATGGTGTCTTTATCAAAGTTTATTATTTTAGGTTTCGTTCTACTGTGCTGACAACATATTTAAAATTTGGAAGATTTTAATATTTACTCCACCTGCGATGACAAAATTTATTGCCATCGTAATTGCTTATGCAACGACATTAATTATGGGTTTCAATTTAAATTAATAAACAAATAATAGCATTTATCTGTTATTAGGAAATTCCGATCTTTAAACAGCAATTTACTTGTTTCGTTCATAAAAGTCAGCGTTGTGTAATGGACATCAAACTGGTAAAATATTCCACTGATAGTATAAAATTGACTACATAATTATTGTTTTATGCAACTAATTCGCCATAAAAAAATAATTTTTTTTTATGCACCTTAATTTTTAATCATTTTAATCTGAAAATTTTGATCAATGCATGTCGATACTTTCCTTTTTTATACAAGCTCATGCACGGTTCACCCACAACTATGAGAGAATAAAAAAAGGAAATTTTTTTTTTCTTTTGTTTATCCTTTGTCTTTAAAACAAACTTGTACATTTTTGGGTTTTTGTTTTTATCAAAAAAAAATCACGTTTATTATTAGTAATCATACATAATCATGAGTAAGAAACTTTTGAATTAATTGTTGTCGTATCACCAATTTTTTTTTTTTTCTGAAACTAAAAAAAAATTCTTTTCATAAAGAAATTCATAAACACTTGCAGAGACCTAAGAAATCTAAATTCTTGTCCTGAACAAAGTACACATAGTTCATAGCGAAGATTCTGAGGTAATAAAGGTCGTATGAATGAGTAATTAATAATTTTTTAATTTATTTAAACAAATTTTTTTTATTTTTTTTTTTGTGATTACAAACTGCTTTTGCTATAAATAGCTACTCTACATACAGTGTTCACTAATATATAAATATTTCATAATCTAAATAAAATACATTAAAAATAATAATAATTTATAAATATCTTTTTTTTTAAATTTTTTTTTCCAGATTTGTCCCTATGTTAATATCGGATTTTTTTTAGCAATTCACAATCGATATACCACCATAAAGGGTTTCATAAAATTTATAGGTTCATAAAATTTATGTACAGGTGTAACAATGTCGCAGTAACGCGAACGTTAGGAATGAATCGTCATCTTATGAGCATTAAAGCTCGAATTATTTGTAATGAATCTTAGAAAAGATATCCATTAAAAAATTGATTTATGAGTGGATCGTCTGTAATTTGTCGAGGAAGGGATGCGATTCGAATTATTATGTCTTGGTTGTTAACTGGACTTCGTGTATTGCTTAATACTCGTCGTCCCCCTTCATGTTGTGGGTTTGGTGGTCTATTAATTCTTGAATTATTCGATCCAAAACCACCGTCACTTATAGGAGTAGAATTATTTGAAGTTATGTTTGAAGACATTTAATAAATTATTCTTATCGTTATTATTTTTTTTTAAATATAAGAAACCTTTCAAATCGAAAAACGTATTTATAATGAAATTTCATATGAATACATAAATAAATATAAGTAAAGATTATATCGACCACTAAATTCTCACTTTTTTGACAGGTTCAAATATAGGAATTTTCTATGAAAAAGAAAAAGGTCGAAATTTTCTAGTATGCTTAATACATTGAGTAATTGACCAATTGAGATTCGTTTTCAAAAATTCCAAATGAATGTATCATTCAACTCAAACAGGTAATTCATCCGGGTACATAATAGAATTTATTTGATTGGTCGGCAAATTTTGATGTAAAATTACCTTTCATTTTATCATCAACTATTCATAAACTAAATACATGTATTCAATTTATTTCTAAGTAAGTGTTAAAATAAGTTTTATTAATGAGCTATTTAAAAGTTATAAACGCGATGACACATTCTGCTTTTCACGCTTCAATATTATTTTGACAAATATTAAAAATATTTTTTTTTTAATTTTAGAATAAGAGAGCCGAAGTTTGCGGAGGATTCAATAGGCATAAATCTTAAGATTTCGGTTCGGTAGTTAAACTCAAACCTATCTTATTAATCAAGATATGAAGGGATTGACATAGTTACACAAAATATTGTCAAAACGCTTGGGCCATTTGGTCAATATTTATTTACCAGTCATTGTTAAACATAAATAATTGGTGAATTCATGAATTTGTTTATCGTTTCAGATCCCTGTTACAAGTGAAAATTTTATTCAAGTTAACAAATTTCTTTTTTGTATTTGGTTTTCTTTATAATAAAATTTACTGAATTTCAATGATTTAATAATTATATCCTTTATTTTTGTTAAAATTGTAATAAAAACATTGATAGGAATAAAAAAAGAAATTATTAAGAAATTCCATTCATGCCTCTCATAATTATGATAACAAACAGTAAACAATCATGCGACTCCTGTCGATTTTTACCACTAGGGCTGATCGTTACACGAAAATTGATCCTATTCGTTTTCAATTTTTTTTTTTTTTTTTTTAAGGTTGTTGCTCGTAAGAAATTGAAGCTCACAGCAATAAATCTTTGCGCAAAGCTCACGAATTGACGAATTGATATAGATATTTGATAAATGACTACAATAAGTTGATGCGTGAATATTTTTTATGAAGTTGAAGCGTTTATCTCTCACTTTGTCATTTCATGACAAAACTTAATCTTCCAAATTAAATGTTTCAAATAAGTGGTATCCCATTGAAAAATTCGTATGTCAATAAGTCACTTGTAATTTGCGTTGGAAGGTTCGAGATTCGACTTAACGTCTCCTCATTATCGATGTGTTTAACAAGCTGAATACTTCGTTCGTATATTTTATTTGCATTCCGTTGTTTTCTTCTTCTTCTTCTTTGATTAGCATTTCTTGAAAGGTTTGTTTCAAGTATACTGCTGTTATTAATTGTAGGGGTAAGAAAATTGAATATTCTGTTTTGATTTGAAGACATTGTAATATATATTATTGTTATTTTTTTCTTTTTGAGGAATAAAGGTCTCTTTTGATTATTATTTTTTTTTAAAAAATCAATCTTTTTCAATTCGAAGTTATTTATATTTACGATAACATCGATAGATTCTCGAAAATTTAAAATCGATTGGTTATCTAATTAATTATATAATCATTTGGTAATTCCAAGAGAATAAAAATCTCATCTTGATTAGATAACGATGAAACCAATTAATTCTGTCGTTGCGTTTAATATTGTAGCATATACATATATATAAAATAGAGTTATAATATTTATTTTTTTAACAATTGAACCTGTTATGCACTATCCGAAAAGAAAAGATTCTTTGTTTATTTTTAACCAAGTAATGTATGTAGAACAAATTTTCGTTGTGCTTGAATTAATAGTATACATGCAAGGCATAAAAACTTGTGTAATTAAAAATTATTAAAAGGCTACTCTCATAAAGCACAAGATCACCGTATTTCCGAAATAAAAATCTCAATTGAGCAAATTTTTATTTCTCCGATTCTTGGTAATGTAATATGCATCAAGCATCATATCATTTTAGATCGACGGATATTGGCCCAAGCACAATGATCATAATGAGCGCCATGCTAAGATTTTCGAATAGAACGATCATAAACATCCTTTATTTCCGGTTGGAGTCTGGGCTCAATTGTAACAAGTAAGTAATATAATATAACGCATCGAATCGAATATTAGCCCCTTTTATTTAGGAATTCTGATATTTTATTTAATTTCTAGATAAATTTTAGTGATATTGCCGTTTGCTTTAGAGTTAAGCATAATAATAGTAATTGAATTTTCCGGATTATTGATGCAAGCCAACGTTTTACAAATACCTAATCCGTATAGAAGATCAGTTGATTGCATAAGCCCATTACGAATTGCTTATGAAATGATTTGACGCCAAAACGGGAACATTCGATACTAAAAACATAAATAAATAAATAAATAAAACTGGGTTTTACGAGGTGTCTAAAGATCGTAATACATGTCGAAAATTCGAAAGCATAGAATAATTAATTATAATTTCCCATTTCAAAATATATATATATATAAACAAATTACTGAAAAAATACATTTAACGCAATTAGCCGAATCAATAGACACATATGATAAAAAAATTTTTACCTTAAAATTTATTAATTCTGACCAAAATGATTTTTTGGACAATTTCTTGTTTACCAAAACAATTTGCGACGCATCAAAATGCTTCCCAAATAATTTAGTAATAAGATGCCATCATACATGGTAACACGTTTTGATCAGAATTTGTAAATAAAGTTTGGATTAAAAGTGAGATTGAAGTCAATATAATTTAAAATTATAACCAATCATATGGCAAGTTTATAAAATCAAAAGGGATGAATTTTCTTTGTTAATTATATTATTGCCTTTTAAGATTTCATTGTAACACGGTTACGAAATTTGGGGGCAGAATTTATGCGAATATTTATTAACTGTAATGTTAATGAAATTTTCGCATAACAGTTTCAGGGATATGCAGTAATTAATTTCTTATTGTTTAACAATAATTTAGGATGTAACAAGAGAACCCTTTTAAGGAACTGTTATTTATAGAATTAGATTAAATTTAGTAAAAGTTTAATAAAAAAAATAATCAATCTAACTGTTTCAGTATTTTTTTCCTATAACATCATTTCATTTTACTTTAAGTATCGAACCAATATCAGATTTCTAATTATAGATATCATAACTCACAATATATTCACGACTCAAATTTGGATAGATTATAAAAAAAAAAAGGTTCATCATTCTTGTGACGCCTGCAAAAAAATGGTAGCCGGATTTACTTGTCGGTAATATCCTACCCCAAGTTAATCCTTGGTAATAATCAAAAGCGGAAGGTGCCAAAATCGCCTTCATTAAACTATCTCTTACCGGGAGAGGACAAAAGTATTGCACGGTCATGAATTAGATAATTTTTTTAAATTTTTAATAAGTAAATGAGCTATATTTTTTAATAACATATTAGCTAACTATTACTTAATGAAACATTTTGTTCATTGTTTGGTTTTGAGTAATGCAAAGTGTAAAATCTAATTTTGAAAAAATCTCTACTTTTCAATTCTTCGCACTTTATATGTTCTCCTAAAGGATTAGCTTGTTGGCTATTGGTATGTTTTTACTAATTAATAAGCCGCAAGTAACCACATAAGTTCATTCAATGACATCTTATATAATTTATGATTTCTGAGTTGCTGGACCCAATTTTTTTGCTGTAATAATGGCCATTTTAGCCTTTTAACGAAAATATAATGCGCAATTTTAAAAAATAGAGATTTTTTTAAAATTTGATTTTACGAATTGCAACATATTAAATTAAACAATTAATAAAATATTTCATTGATGCAATATATGAACAAAATGTTCCTAATAAAATATGGCTCAGTTACAAATGAAAAATTTACTCAATATCTCATTCTCGACCTTGCAATATTTTTGTCCTCCCCCGGTACATCAGTACCTCCGCTTTCTTTCTTTTTTTCTAATAACAAATCCATTATAAAGGTATCGTTTTCCCATAAACATACCATTTCTGCTCTTTTCTTGCTGGAATATCCCACTCGAGACACTAACTATGCCGACGAATACTTTTGAACAAACTTTTTAGGTTAGTGTTAGGGTTTGACGTAAGATTAGAATTTAACGTAAGGTAAGATTTGGAGCTTCATAGGTGGGAAGGCAAATCACTCCATTATAAGTTTATGTTAAAATATCAATCGTATAGTATTGAAGTTAGGTATAGAATTAGTAGTTGTCTAAATCAAAAATTTATATTGTGCTGCGCCACGTAAAGTGGGCATTGTCCCATTTTCTAAAATGATTTCTTCTTTTTTTTTTTTTTTTTTTTAATATCTTGAACTTAATTTATGAATGGTAAAATGTTTATATATTTCTTGTGTCATTAGCTGAAAACTATCGGAAAAACCAGAAACTTTACTATTATAATATATATATTAATTTTCTTTTTTTTTTGCAGAATTAGTAAGGAAATATATCTAATAATAGAATCTGTTGAGATGTTAGCGCGACTAAAATCATCCAGAATTATCGAAAATGATTTCTGAAAATTTTGGATGCTTTTAAGCTGCTCATACATATGATGAACGTGTCTTTGATGTGAATTTTGTGCTGCTGATGCTGTATTTTTTGATTAGCGTATCGTGACACTGTTTATTTGAAGATATTGTCGTATTAAACATTAAAATCTTTGCGTGATTAAATGAATTGACTATATCGTAACCCTTTAAATTTTATTAATATGTTGATTACCGGTAAGTTTACACAAAGAAATGCTTCATTTCTCAGAAACATAGTAAATAATAAACGTGCTCAGTAGAATTTATTTTATCTAATCTTATCCCTATGTTTTTTACTGCAACTTCCAAAAAACAACAAGAATAAGCAGAATTTTTCTAAAGAATATGGAATAATGAAG